GGGTGACGGGAGAGGCCCGATCTGTGCCTCTGACCCACGGACAAACGAGGAAAACAGTCTGAGCTCATTTTCCTCCATTTGAGAAAAGTATGTTTTTTGCTTCAGCAAAACATTCAGCCAAAATCATTAATAAAAAGTGAATTCAGGTATTCTGCTTTAAGAAAAGGAATCTTACTCATTATTATATAACTAGAGGCTCAGGGCACGAAATTTGTGCAGGGGGCGGAGGGGGTCCCTCAGTCCAGCCTGTGCCCTCTCACAGTCTGGGACCCCTCGAGGGAGCTCTGCTCAGCCAGAAGCCACAGTGCTCCCCCTGTGGGAGCACATTGATCACCAGAGAGCAGCTCCTGTGTTGAGGTCAGTGTGCGTCATAGCGACTAGTCGTTTCGCTGGTCCTTCTGCCGTTCCGTCAACTTGCACATTAGGGTTTTATTATAGTCCTGGTGGTCAGTGTGCATCATAGCGACTGGTCGTTTCGCTGGTCCTTCTGCCGTTCGGTAGATTTGCATATTAGGGTTTTATTATATGAGGAACATGTCAACCAGGAGGTGCGTTGTCACTGCTGTTGGGGGGCTGTGGGAAGCTCCGATGTGGGGGGCTGTGTACTCATGTGGTTGGGCTTAGATAGTTTTCCATCTTTAGGGGGGAGTTTGTCCTGGACGCCCCCACACTCCAGGTGGAGCCTTTCTCTTGATAAACCGATGAGAAGGCTGGGCCGTCCTTGCTCACACGCTGAGCATGGACCACGCAGCTCTGAAGACAGAGCCTGGAGGGCGCGGAACAAGCTGGCTCTGTCGGCGAGGCCGGCACCGAGGCTGTTGCCGCAGACGCCAGCGTGTGGGCGTGAAATGTGGGGAAAACGCACCCCTCGCTCGAGGCCATCACAGCAGGGAGCGACTATAAAACTGGCTGAGCGCCTGGCCGCCATCCCCGTTTCCAGTCTGTCCACATCATCTGCACTCGAATAGGAGTCGGAGCCCACAGACAGGGGCCCTCGCTCAGCACCTGCGGGCGCACCTGGCTCTTCGCGCCCGACGCTGCCAACGAGACGCCGTTAACAGCATCGGGAGGACCCTTCAGCTCTGCACTGAACGGCGGCGCTGCCTCCCCTCCCGTCCAGACACCGTAACAGGAAGGCACTACCACGGCGTCGGCTGGTACCTGGAGACACAGCCGTTACAGAGAACACGCAATGTGTCCTAGTGCTCCTGGCCTTTGTCATAAAGTGTGGACGGAACGGGGTCACATGCTGACCGACAGGCTCAGGGGAGGCCTGCGTGGCCGCCTTGCAAACTGAGACAGAAAGTGACCACAGGGCGGTCTGAGACGGAAACCTTTGAATTAAAAAGCAGTTGTGGGCAGTCGTGTCCTAGGCGGGTTCTTCCCTGGCAAAGGCCCACCTTTCCCTTGGCTGAGCCTGTTGTCTTTCTGCATCGATGATAACAAATGACATCTCGCTGGAATGTCAGGGTGACTTCCCTTTCCCCGCACCCCAAAGCCCAGGCACGGCTCTGTGAGGCCACGGCCCCTCGTCTGTGAGTGAGTTGCTGACGGTTACTACCCGGCACCCGCCTACGGGAAAGGAGCATGTGTCCGTCACTTCACTTTTCACCCAATCCCAGGGTTCCCCGCTTTGCTTGCTCCCGCCTCCCTAATCCATCACCAGCGGATTCCATGAACTGGCCCGTGTCTCTTCCTTCGATGTCACGTATAAAACACGGTGAGAAACGTGTTCTCCGGAGCGTCATCCCATCCGTTGAGGTTCTGCTTCCCGGCAATTGTCGGCAGTTGGGCTCAAAGAAACTCACAGACATTCTTACAGGTTTGACTGTTTCTTACATTGACAACAGGGTCCTCACACACCCCTGGGTGTAGGAGACGGAGTGCAGGGCCCTGGGGCCTGGGAGCCTATACACGCCGGTCATCTCCTCGCCGCCCGCCCCAGAGACACCGCAAAGCAGGCAAAACAGAAGACGTGGCCGAGTTCATCCAGCTCAACCTAACCCCCTTCCACAGGGACACACAGAGGAGCCGGCGTTTCACGGCCACACAGGAAGGGCTTGTACAGCGCGACAGAACCACTTCATCCCCCGACGGGCCGTTTCCTGTTCCTCCTCTTTTCCCAGGTGCCCCCCCGCCCCTCCCCTCCTTTCCTCGGCCATGAAGTGGTCGCGGTGCTTCTACAGAGGAAAAGAGAACGGGCTGCTGAGAGGAAATGCGGGGAGTCACCACCATCGCATCATAACATTTAAAATGGTCAAGAGTGAGCAGTCCAGCTCATGGCTTTTCATGATCCACGTTGGCCTCAGACATAAACTCCAACCGAGAGAAATCATCCAATTTTACCCCAAAACGGAAGCCGACAGGAGGCAGCCAGCGCCGAGGCCTCCTCTCCCCGCGTCCCGAGGGCAGGAGCAGAGAGGGAGCTCTCCTCCAGAGGTACCTGTGCCTCGGTTTCCTGCTGTGCGACAACAAATCCCCCCAGGTCAGTGGCTGTCACAGTTCTGTGGGTCAGAGGTCAGCCCGGCCTCACTGGGCTGCAGTCAGGAGCCGGTGGGGGTGAGGGCGGGGAGGGATTGGGGGGCCGGGGCTGCGCCCTCCCCACAGGCCCCGGGAAGCTCTCCTCCTCGCCCTTCACTCCTGGGGGCCACCTGGACTCCCCATCCCTCCCTCCCTTCACCTTCCAGGCCAATGGCAGGTCAGATCATTCTTTAAAACAAACAAACAAAATTTCTGAGAGCGAGAGGGAGAGTGAGAAACATCGATGTGAGAACAAGACATTGATTGGCTGCCTCCTGCATGTCTCCCAGGTGGGAGGGGGTGTAATGGAGCCCACAGCCCGGGCATGTGTCCTGACCAGGACTCAAACAGGCAGCCTTTCCATCCAGGGGCGATGCCCAACCACTGGGCCACACCAGCCAGGGCTCAACCATTCTCACGTCCATCACCCTCACCTGCTCACACGCCTCTCTCCATCATTAAGGAGGCTTAGAATTCCATTGTCGCTCCCCTCCCCTGCCCCCCAGCACCTCCAGAGTTCTAGGCTGGCTGATTCTCAGCTCTCATGCTGCCCACTGCCTGCCTCTGCCCCCTGAGGTAGCGCAATCTCAAGTTCCAGGGCTCAGGGTCTGGGTGTCTGCCGGGCCACCCCACCACCCACAGACACTAGTCACTGAGCTCAGAGACACAACTAGCCAGTGAACAGCAGCAGCTCCCACATCGGGCGTGAACGGAGAGCCGTGTGAGGGCCACTCACAGAGTGAGTCAGCGGCAGGACAAGGGCCACGGCACACACGGTCACACCTGAGATTCCCAACATCCCACCGCGGGGAGATGGGCGAGGTGAGAAAGCTATTATTTTACAACACGAAGCCCGTAACTCCTCGCAGAAGTCATAGAACACAAGAATGTTGGGAATTGTAAGGCCACTTATCTTTACCCCAATTCGTGCATTACTGTGTTTTGGGAATTTTTGTATTTTAATTCCATGTATGTTGATGCATGTGGATACACTAGTATATTTGTCCCCGTGTTTTCATGGGCAGTATTTTCTTAACTTTATCTAATATCTCTCTTTTATTTATGATTCCTCCCTTCCTACATCTTTCCACTATATTCTGGGATCATTTTGCTTTTGACACTTACTGTATACTAGAGACCTGGTGCACAAAATTCGTGCAGGGGGGTGTCCTTCCGCCCAGCCTGCACCCTCTCCAATCTGGGACCCCTCGGGGGATGTCCGACTGCTGGCTAAGGCCCGATCCCACAGGACATCCTTTGCACAATCCGGGACTGCTGGCTCCCAACCACTCGCCTGCCTGCCTGCCTGCCTGATTGCCCCTAACCACTCCTCTGCCAGCCCTGTCGCCCCCAACTGCCCTTCTCTGCTGGCCTGGTCACCCCCAACTGCCCTACACACACACACACACACACATACACACACACAATCTTGTTTTTGGGCTTCAACTGAAATTATGTCAGACCTTTCCACAGTGTCTGAAGCTCCATTCAAAATTTTAAAAAATATCCTCGATTTTTTATTTTGAATATTTTCTAGTGAACTATCACTAGAAAATTGTCTCTCCAGCTGCATCTAAAATCCATCCTTCTGTTTTCCGAGTCTATCAGTTACAGTTACTTTAACATCTGTGTCTCATATTTCCATTTACTGAATCTCTTGCTGGTGTGTTTCGACTGCATGGCATGTGTATTGGGTTCTGCAATTTCTTAACTCCTTGAAGTGCTCTTGGCTCTCAGCCTGTCTCTACGTCTGTCTCATCTCTCTCTTCATCTACATCACAGCTAGATATTCATCTGTATTTATGTAACTCCACCTGTAATTTTCTCTCTATCTGGTCATAAATCTCTGTCTCCATTTGCATTTATATCTCATCTGTCTACGTGAAGGTGTACTGAGGCTCTGTCTTCTGTTCAGGTTTTCTTTCGTGTGTAACCCTAACCATCCCCATCAAAGCAGACATTTTCTTCTCTGCGCTGCCGGTGTTACTACCACCAGCTGCTGCTTCATGCCCGAGGGTCCACGTCTTCTGAGGACATCAATCTCAGTCCTGACTTTGAGATTTTAATCCATAAAAGTCTGTCTATTCAAACGAGAGTCCAACGACTTACAGTTTGAGGTCCCACAAAATTTGTTCAAATCTCCAACTCCCTGGAATTTCACAACCTATTTCCTGTGCACGTTCATCTTTCCATAATATCGCTTTCACAGATCACAGTCAAAACCCCCGCGAGTGAACAACTAGAACAGTACACGCAGCTGCTCATTAATTACTGTATTAGAGTATAATGACTCGGCGTTTCATACAGCTTTGGAAGAGATTCCAGTGTCATTCATTCCATCCCCAGGGGAGAGCTCATCCATTAATTATGGAATTTTTGAGATAAAGTCTTTCCGTCGTATTTGGGACCAGAGACGAGGTGAGAAGTTGATGGAGAACAAGGGAGTGATGCATCTTCGCTGGTGAAGACAGAGCAGGTCTGAGACAGGCGCTGCTGGTGGGCCGGCCCGGGGGCGCCAGAGCCGCAGGCTGGGCTGTGACAGGGGGATCAGCAGCCGCTGGAGGCGAAGCCGTTGGGGTGGCAGAACCCAGACCCATAGCTCAGGGGAGGGAACCCACAGACCCCGTCACCCAGGGGCCTGAATCTAGGGGACCCACAGCCCAGAGAGCAGCTGCCGGGCCCACAGCACAGAGCCCCAGGTTGGGTCCTGGACCGCAGGGTGAGGGGGTCCTGGGGCCACAGTGGGGTGTCCGGCAGCTGGGGGGCTCCCAGCAGGTCTCCTGGAAGCCCCTGTGGAGAGAGGGGCCCTGTGGGCAGGGGCTGGGGGCACAGAGGGCAGGGCTGTAGACCAGGTTGCTGGGGTGGGAGCCACAGGAGGAGCCGGGGGGGCGCAGGGGGCCCCTGTGGGAGCCGGAGGAGAGGTTCCTGGAGCAGCCGCTGAGGGACATGGCGACGAGAGGAGAGCAGGTCAGCGAGGAGAGTGTGAATGTCACCCTGGACCACGCGTTTATATCCTCCCGGCCACGGGCGTGGCCCTCCAGCATCATCGTCCCCACATCTGAAGTCCCGTGTGAAGGCGAGTCACCGGCCGTTCCCTGGTGACGGCTGTGAACCAACCCTCGTCATCTGGCATTTACGGGGACTCGTTGGGGTTTATGGCTCTCAGTCAGGGACTTGCATCCGCACGGACGCCACGGCCGTGTGTAATGGGCAGTCATCGTGGGAAGTCCCTCCTGCGTCGTGTCCGTGAGCGCCTGGGCCCCTCCCGTTGGGCTGGGAGGACGTTGTTTCTGGGGTGGAGACGGGAACGCAGTCACTGCCCTGAATGTCGATGGCCAAGAGGCAGGGACCTGCTATGAGTGAGGAACCATCTGAAGGTCAGCCCTGGAAACAGCCAGTGCCCCTCAGGAGACGAGCGGATAGAAAGCTGTGGTGCGGCTATACCAGGGAATACTATGCAGCAGTGAAAAGGGAGGGTCTCTCACCCTGTGAGACAGCGTGGAGGGACCTGAGAGTATTATGCTGAGTGGAAGAAGTCAGTCAGAGAAAGACAAGTATCACATGATCTCAGTCATATGTGGAATCTAATGAACAAAATGAACTGATGAGCAAAACAGATCCAGAGACACTGAAGCATAGAACAGACTGAAGATTCTCAGAGGGAAGGCGGGGCAGTGGGAGGTGATCAAACAAAGACCTTGTGTGCATCTATGCATGGCCCACGGGCACAGACAATAGGGTGCTGAAGGCCTGGGGCGGGGGATGGGGGGCAGGCTGGAGGAGGTCAATGGGGGAAAAGGGATGAATGTAATACTTTCAACAATAAAGATAAAAATGTAATAAAATAAGATGAAGAGTATCCCTTCTCAAAACCATGCCTCCTGCAGTGCCCGCCTGTGACTCACTGTTCGCGGTGCTCACGGTGCAGCCTGCAGGCCCCGCACAGGTGAGCAGAGGGACCGAGAGCGAGGCCCAGGAGGCACCTCCGGGACCCACTGCTTTTCACGTTAGTGTTCGCAGAAGGGAAATCACATGGAGCATCAGAGACCGCGATGGCCCGTGAGGGAGCTCGGGGTGGACAGTCGGGGGACGGGGAGAGGACCTGCGGGGTTTCCTTCTACCCCTGGGCAACCTATGGACACTGTGCTCAATCCTATCAAATCGAACGTTCCAAGATGAACGGCGTTAATGGCTTTTGTAGGACACATTCATATTGTGAAATACCCTCAGAATGCCCAATGCCCTTCGAGCACCTCCAAGGTCACGGGCTTCCCTCCCCAACTGGGGTGACTCTGTCCTCACTCTCTGGATCCAGGTTTTGTGAGTCTTGAAGTTTATAACTTCGGGGTCCCCTTTAAGAAAAAGAACACAACATTGTGACTATAATAGTGGGTACAATGTGGATGCTGCTCACAGGGTGGCAAAGGCTCACACCAGTGGGGCCTCGCTTCTGAAGGCCCAGGGACATGCAAACCGACCAGAGCACCAACCAATGCGAAAAGCACGGAGGATGGAGCTGAGCTGGCCAGGCACCGCCCGCGGCTGGGAGTCGCTCCCTTGGCCGGAGGGCTCCCCGCGAGGAGCCTGTGCACACGGAGCTCACGGAACGTTCCAGCAGCTCTGGACCCGCTCCGAGCTGTAGCAGCGACTGCTTTTGCTTCCCCTTTTCCAGGGACACGTTTACGAGCATCGCGAGCTGTTCACTAGCATCCTGCGAGGCGCCCGGCGACTCCCATGAAAAGCTGGCCTCGTCAGGGCGGGCGGGTGCTCCTGGCACCGACTCACGCCCCAGCCATCTGATGGCGCTGACCGACGTGGGCGTGGCTGGGAAAAGCAAGACCGCCTGGACGTTAAAAAGTCGTTTTTCACAAAGCAGAACCAAGTCCTCACGAGAAGAGGGAAGTATCGCCGTCCAGGTGGCGTGAGGAGCTGGCCGCATGGGCCCCTGTGTGTGTTCATGTGAATGTAACAGCTGTCCCTTCGCAGGGCGCAGCGTGCGCTCCGCCCTGAGTCAGAGCGACGGGTCAGGTCCTGCACCAGGACGGCCATGTGCCCTCCCACCTCATGGGGTTCTGCCCGGGAGAGAATCACAGAACAAAGGACGCGGGGGCTTTGGGATAAAGCAGGTTTATTCCAGGTCCTAACGGGCCCTCTTCAACGACAGCCCGAATCCCACTTCCCTGAGTTAAACCGAATGAAACACCAGACCCACAAGCAGGCAGATGAGCACAGACAAGATTGTCCGCCTTCCTCCTCCTCCTCCTCCTCCTCCTCCTCCTCCTTCTTGTTCTAATCTTCTCTCTCTCTCTCTCTCTCTCTCTCTCTCTTAATCCAAGTATGTGTTCCTCTTTCTGGGGCGACACAGTAACACCGACTTCGCCTGAAGAAAGACCAGCCGCATGGAGGTCCAGGCTGTTCTGAGCCGACGCTGCCTGGAGGGGGACCAGGCTGCCTCTCGGGGTGAACGACCTGCAGGTTCACCCAGGCCCATGACAGCGGGTTCGCTGCCGTCTGGGCGGGCGGAGTGTCGGGATCCGGGCTCTGCATGTGGAGGCCGTGGGTCCAGGGTTAGTTTTGCTCCGACCTCCCTGAGCCTCAGGAGGGACCTCGTGAGCTGCTCTACGACTTCATTTCTCCGCGTGGCTGACCAGCCACGAAGCCCCACGGAGCCCCAACGCTCCACGTTCACGGCTGCAGGGAGCGCAGCCGCTCCGGCAGCACGACTTCGGGTTTAGTGTAATAACTGCAGCTGAGAACATACATGTCCTCCCCCCAAGAAACTAAACAAAACGAGAACCGTGAGTCGGCGCAGAGACGAGGCCGAGAACGGCGCCTACACCAGACTCATCGGGAAGCTCGGGGAGATGGTTCTCGCCAACACTTCCACTCAAAGACTCACGCATGGGGTGAGGGGACCTTCCGGGCTCCCGTCGCCTTCAAGGAGGTGTCGCATGAACACAAGGAGGTGCCCTCCGTACACGAGAGCCACGCCTGTCGCCACACAGGAAGCTGAGCACATGGCCAAGGAGCCTCGTGCCCTCGGGCTCCGCCGAGACTGGCAGGAGCCACAGGGTCCGTCCAGGTCACACGGAAACGGGGAAGGTCGCACTGACGGTGGAGACTTTGAGCCTGGAGAAACCACTCGGACACGCAGGTGCAGAAGCAGACGGACTGTGTGGATAGTGACCACTGACCGTTAGGGTCGCCCAAGGAGGCAGGCGCAGGGCCGAGCGTAAAGAGCCCTGAGTGGATTAGGGCACCTGGAAGCCAGATGGGCTGAGCCCCCTGGGACGGGGAGAGGCTGTAAGGATCTAGGGGGGCTTTTTCAGCTGGGAATTCTCTGGGCGGGTCCGGATCTGGGGCAAGTCCGCAGGGGAAGTTACTGGTCTGAGCCAATGGAATGATCTAAGCCAGCGGTTCTCAACCTGTGGGTCGCGACCCCTTTGGGGGTCGAACGACCCTTTCACAGGGGTCGCCTAAGACCATCGGAAAACACATATATAATTACATATTGTTTTTGTGATTAATCACTATGCTTTAATTATGTTCAATTTGTAACAATGAAAATACATCCTGCATATCAGATATTTACATGACGATTCATAACAGTAGCAACATTACAGTGATGAAGTAGCAACGAGAACAATGTTATGGTTGGGGGTCACCACAACATGAGGAACTGTATGAAAGGGTCGCGGCATTGGGAAGGTTGAGAACCGCTGCTCTAAGCGAAGAACTTCCTTGTAAAGTTGCCCAAAGGTTAGTTCCCGGGGAGGGGCATCGACCCGGTTGTCTGATCAGCCCTGACGCTGACCTCCTGGCACCCGGGCGGGGGCGAAGGAAGGGTCTATGGGAGCCCCTGGGCCGGACGGGGCTCACGGCCGCACAGAGAGGCAGGGAGGGGCTTGGGAGTCAGCCGTGGAGGCCGCGCCAGATAATCCTGGGAAGGAAGTGAGCAGCGTCGCCCTAAGTGCCTCCCAGGGATTAAAGTGCAATTAGTACGTGAAGACGTGCTCAGTTCACGCTACGCAGCAGCCCACAGCCATTCTTCCATGACACGGCGGGGCCGGGGGAGGGCCCCCTGCCCGTCACACCCAGGCCGCACGGGTATATAACGTGGACTCCCCACCACGACGTCCGCACTCAGACCCTCTGCTGTCCTCGCTGACCTCCTCTCCGCTCCACTCCGCCACCATGTCCCTCAGCGGCTGCTCCGGAAACTTCTCCTCCCGCTCCCTCGGGGGCTCCCTGCGCACCCCAGGTCCCTCCTGTGGCTCCCACCCCAGCAACCTGGTCTACAGTCCTGCCCC